CTTGACCCTCAGCCAGGAATGACCCTTAGTATTGAACCATTCACTACTGGGGAAGAGAATATTAGGCCTAGAACAAGAAAAGCAGACGTCATCTAAGTAGGTCTGCAGCTGGCGGGTGACCCTGTATGTGAGTCAGGTAGCATGGACAGAGCCCTTCTAGATACAAACCATTTATCTTCAACTTCAGTTTAGCATGCAGGAATAATAGTAATGTGATTGCTAATTAGGCCCCTGGGCTGAAAAACAGGACAAGATGTTAGAGCACTTTGTATCAAGGAAAAATAATTTGACACACACACACATGCCACAAGAGACTATCATTGCTCACTGACTTTATAAGGTAGCCAGAAGGAGGGCCATCCTCCTCTTTCTATTAGGAAAAACGTAATGCTAAAGAGATCAAGGGATCCATGTGGTGTCCCTGATGCTATACTAGGGACGTTACCAGATGCCTAGATGCTGGGGCCAGATCACCTGAGTTCAGATCCTGGCTCTGACACTTAACTAGCTATATGTGATCTTGGTTACTGTATATCTTTGTGCCTCATTATCCTCCACCCAAAAAAGAACTAATTTTAATTTATTGAGAAAGTCAACTAAAATAAAACCAGGGAAGTACCTAGAACTGTGCCTGGCACACAGTCTTATCTGCTGGGCGTTGTTGAGCCTTGGGAGAGCTCACCTGGCCCCTGCACTAGTTGATACCTGGTGAATGCATTATAAAAACAACAATCTGGGGCACAGAGTAGGCAGATCAATTCGGGGGCTTGGCTGTATTTACAGAGCCTGGCAAAGAACTGACTCTTAATAAATATGTACTGAGTGACTAAGTGGATGAAAGTGTAAATGAAGGTGACGCAATTCATTCTCCCTTGATTTAGGTCGCTCTTTTTCTCTCTTAGCTATTGTTACATCTCAAGAAAAATCTTTGCCTGGTTCTGCCCCATCCGTTTCTCCTCCTTTCCTCCAGTGTTGATGCCTCATCAAGGGAGCTGGAACTTCTGGTTCGGTTACTATTTATGTGACCTTAAGTTTACTGCTGAGCATCTAAAAGCTTCCATTTCTCTGATCACTTGCTCCAGAATCCAAGAATCATCCTGGACACCTCTCTCCCTGTCAACACTCCCTCCCCTCTCGTATCTGGTCAGGCCCTGGAGACTCTTCCTTCTAAATATCCTCATCTCACCCCACTCGCTGCCCCAGCATCCAGTCCACCCTCCGGCTTCCTCAGTTGACCTTTCCAAAGCTAATGAGTCACTTCCTTGCCTCTACTCTGCAGGACTCCCCATGGATCCCAAATCTGACTTAAATCCTTCATGGGATTCGCAGACCTTCATGGCCTGCCCACCTGCCTGGAACATCCCCTACAGACCACTGGGTCCAGTTTCCAGAATGCCCCACACTGTCTCCTGTCTCGGCATCTCTCCAACCATTTCCTCTGTGTACACATACATGTGTCCACAGACAGGCAAGCTACTCTGTGGTTTTGAGTTTTTACATAAAAGGCATCATACTATGTAAACACTTCTTCAAGTTGCCTTTGGCATTCATGGATGCCTTGGAAATCCCTCTGTCAGGATATTCATGAGAGATGGAACTGGCTACTCTTTGTAACCACCACACACATAACGTTCTGCAGGAAAAGCTTTGCCAGAGTTATTTAGCTGCTCCTCAAGTGCTGGACTTCAGATGGCTTCCCATTTCCCACTGTAAAAATTATCCTGCAATAAATGTCCTTGTGCACATGTGAAGGTGTTCCCCAGGACAGATACAAAGAAGTTAAATTGTAGTGTCCCAGGGTGGGCCTGTTCCTACTGTATAGACTCAGTGGATTGCCAGTGCCCCAGGACTGCAGGGTCCGCACCCGCTGTCAGCCACACATTATTTACTTGCAGGTGCCTCAGCCATGGGCTGTCCCCACCCAGGCTCCCTGGAAAGCCAGCCCCCACCTGCAGCTTAATAATGCCACCTGGAGGTGTCTTCCCAGCTTTGGCTCTAGCCCTCACACAAGTGTTTGTTCCTAGGCTATAATTACCTATCCACTCCTCTCCCCCTACTGGACTGTGAGGTTCCTGGGCAAAGCATGTCCTGTCTGATATATGCATCTCTGGGTTCCTAGGGCTTGACACAGCGCCCACACTCAGCCAGTGAAGAAAATTGGTTGTCACTCAAGATCACTTGTTCCCCTCCCTAAGCACTATCCTCTGGCTCCTGCCTCACACATTCAACCTCTGGCTTGGCTCTCCCTCCCCCAAGGCCTAGAATCCACACCTCACTGAGCTCTCTTTAAAGAATCAAGCTCATTGAGCAGAATGTTCCCTTGTCTGAAGACAGAATCAGGGACAGAGAACAGGGCCTTACATCTCAGCCCGCAGATGCCTGCCCCCTATGCCCCTCCCATCTCCTCCTCTGCAGCCTGCTCTGCCAGCTCTCTGACTCCCTCCTGGCTTCTCCCAAGGGATTCCAGCCCCTCCCATTATTCAGAATGTCACCTGTAGAAGCATCTTTAGTTGTACACCTGATCTCATCACAATACCTAAGGATGTCCAGTGGATAGGACCAGCTGAGGAACCCTCATTGCCACTGTTGGTAGACTTCAGGTTTCACCCTCCTCACACAGTTGTCAGGGCCTGTCTTCCAAGCACCCACAGGCTTCTCCTGAAGAGGAGTATGGTGAATGCAGTTTCCCCAGTGGAGCCACGCACATTGGTGAACTCTGAGATAGGGCTGTCATGGAGGTGAGGCCTTGGACCCCAGGCCTGTATTAGGGATTTGGGCAGAGGCTCTCAGGTAGGAAGGCCTCTTCAGCCCAGCAGCTGAGAGGGATGGAAAGTCCTGGAAGGATGGGTTTGAAGTGGGTTAATGGTGACTGAGATCCTCACCCGAGTTCCTACATCTGGACTCCGCAGGCCGACACCTTCACTATTGAGGCCGCTGACCTTGGTGTGATCTACAAGATCAAGCTCCGCCATGACAACACCAAGTGGTGTGCAGACTGGTATGTGGAGAAGGTGGAGATCTGGAATGACACCAACGAGGATGAGTTCTTGTTCCTGTGTGGGCGCTGGCTGTCCCTGAAGAAGGAAGATGGGCGGCTGGAGAGGCTCTTCTATGAGAAGGTGTGGTGAGGGCCTGTAGGGCTGCTGGGGGAGGGCCCCTGGCATGAAAGTGCTGGAGCTGTGTCCCTCTGGACAGGAGTACACCGGGGACCGCAGTAGCAACTGCAGCAGCCCTGCTGACTTCTGGGAGATTGCCCTGAGCTCCAAGATGGCCGACGTGGACATCAGCACCGTGACTGGGGCCATGGCTGCCTATGTCCAGGAGGGCCCAGGTAAGCCACATAGGGAGTCCTTCAGAGGAGGAGCAGGCTTGTGGAAATATTTTGCAGCTATTCTTGGATGGGCCATCTTTTAGCCCCACCATCATTGATAGCTTAGATCTGATGTGTTTTTTTTTTTATTAATTAAACATAAGCTATATTAGAAATATTTTACCACTGGTACAATGAACCATGTTGAAAATAGGTAACTGATTATGAAGATTTGCACAAGTCCCATTGCCCTTTCATGAACAAGGTCTAAAAATCTAACAAGGCAGGGTAAGATTCTTCGGGCAATGCTTGAGGTCTGCAGCCCCATTATTCTTTTTTCTTTTTTTATTAAATCATAGCTGTGTACATGAATACCATCATGGGATACAGTGTGCTGTTTCTATATACAATATGAAATACTTTCATCCAACTGGTTAACATAGCCTTCATGGCATTTTTAATTTATACAGTTTTCACACATTCCCTATTTCATCTCCACAAACACTGTCAAGGTGAGAGAGTGGGGATAAGCCCCCTTTATGGGTGGGGAAACAAAGGTTAAGGAGGATAGGGTGAGGATATCCTTAATCCACTGACCCACCACCAGGAGGTTACCATCATAAATTCTGCCCTCACATAGACTCTCAGGATATCAACTCAGCTGGAGGGCTTAGGACCACCAGACAGAAATCAACAGCAGTAGGGAGGCTTCCTTATATGTCCATAGTGCACCCCCAAAAGCACTCAGCCATGCAAATTTAAGGCATGGTAGAGTGTGAGCTGGTTGTTTGGGGACTGAAGTTCCATTTCTGGTTCTGACAGTAAAACATGGGGCCTTGGACCAGTCAGTCTCTTGGCTTCAGTTTTATCCTCCTCCATAAAATAATATCATAATTCCTTGGCAAGTGCATTTTGCCAACCGGATTTTTGAGGTAAGGCAGTTCTATATTTGAACATTTAAATGCACTGCCTTTCCTATTCAGTTCTCTTTAACAGGAAAGTGTTTGACAACCACAATATCTCCCGCCAGGTAGATCTGTGGAACTGGGCTGAGAGAGCCAATCTACTTAAACTTTACCTTCTCACTCTGTGAATAAGTGACAGAACCCACAAGAAAGTGCCTCTCTTTAAGCCCTGTGATCACCTATAGAAAGACAATCCTGGTAGAGCTAAAACAAGACCATGTGCAGGCACAGAAAATAATACAGGTAATTCCAGCCAGGATGGGCTGATGTAGAAGCTTTTCAAAGAGCTAAAGACTGCATAATGTAAAACCCCACTGCACCAGGGCACTGTCTCCCGAGCTGTTAAGGAAGATGAGCCAGAAAAAACATTTCCGGGTTGTATCAATTACTACCTGTAAGTGACAGAGACCTGGAGATTGTGACTTAAAAATAATAGGAATTTTTTTTTTCTCACATTAAAGTTCAAAGGTAGGCCCATCTAGAACTAGTATGGCAGCTTCAGTAAAGTCAGAGATAGGTTCCTTTAAGTCACAAACCAATGGGAAAAGAGGGGGTCAGAGAAATTTGAAAAAAAAAAAAACATCTCTGACTGTCCCCCACCCACCCAGCATTGGTATGCAACTGTTAACCTGGTCACTCTGACATATAAGTAGCTTTTATCCTAAAGTTTTCCCATGATTCCAAGATAAATGCTGGCACTCCAGCCATCACATCCATATTCCAAGCAGAATGAATGGAAGGCTTAGGATCAAAGGGGTACTTGTCCTAGCTGAGTCAGACTCTCTACTAAAGTTTTCCCCAGAAACTCACCCAGCAAAATTCACGCCCTTAGCTACAAGGAGAACCAATACTGGTGGGCAACTAGATCTCTATGGACACTATCTGAACAAGTTTTTATGCTAATTAACCTAGTTCATTTGGGAATGGATGTCTTCTATGAGTTTCATTTATATGTAAACTATTTTTATTATTCCTTTATTGTTCTTCCTGAATTCTTGCTTTCTGCAAGACTTTGCTTTTGGGGACTAGTTTTGCTGACTGTGGTAAACTTTTATAGGTGTCTAGCTGCTATTCTTAGTGAGTGGTTGTTGTTTTTACCATTCTTCAGATGACAGTGCTACGTTCAAGTAAGACAATTGGTCAAAGGGCTTTAAGATGCATGCCACTCCAAACAAGTGACAAAGATCCTCTCTGACCTTCACACTGGAGTCACCAGCTTCCTTGTTCATTGGTGGGCAGGCCCTCACCACAGATAACTCACAGGTCTGAAAAGCTCACTGCATGGTCTCTGAGCAGGAGCAGAGTTCAACTGAGATCAGCACCCTCCAGGGGCTATTTCCGAGTCTCTGAGCCCACTAAGCAGTGCCTTCATTCTCCTGGCCTGTTGCGATGCTGGCCCATAATCTCTTACAGTTGTTCCCTACTATGTGTCGGTCACTACTGGGAAGCATAAAGATGCAGCCACTGACAGCCGAGCCTTCGTCATACTCTTTGGGGAGGATGATGAGTGTAGCAACCGCATCTGGCTGGACTACCCCCGAGGGAAGAAGGGCTTTGCCCTTGGCTCTGTGGAGGAGTTCTACGTGGCCGGCTTGGATGTGGGCGTCATCAAGAAGATTGAGGTACTGGACCCTTAGGGACCCCAGGGAAGGAAGGAGCTGACCAGGACATGGGTGGGAGGGGAAGCGGAGGGTGGGCAGACTGACCCAGCTGGGGCACCCTCAGAGCAGGCAGAGAGGAGGATCTCTAGCATGAACTAGTTGGGTGATGCTGGCTGAGCCACCCAGCCCTCTGGGTCTTATTTCCCGCCCGCTCAGTGGGAACACCCTGCGTGTGCTAGTGCTCTGTGATGAATTACCACAAACTTTGTATCATCTCGTGGTTTCATGGATCAGTGGTCTGGGTGTGAGTTAGCTGTACTTCTCATAATCTCATGGGCTGAAATCAAGTTCCT